CACCCCCTCCCTTCCCCTACCCCGACAGACCCCTCTCCACGGTCAGCACACTAACACGACCGCAAGTTACAACACACTCTGGATACTATGGGAACGCCGTGGGGGAGGGGAGATTATACGACGGATTATCCATATCCTTACATCCTATTTACTCTGCTAAAACTTACTGCGTACGTACGCTGGGTATAAGCTGGTGCTTAGCTAAAAAAAAATCAATTTAAGATTGAATGGATAGAATAACAAGACGAAACTACCTTTCCATGATAAAAAAAAGTTTTATCAAAATCTTTAAAATGAATTTCATAGGAATCATTCACAAAAATATTTCAAATCTTTTAACTACACTTAAACTTACACTCATATTTCACACACACACACACACACACACACACACACACACACACACACACACACACACACACACACACACACACACACACACACACACACACACACACACACACACACGGCGAGCAGCGAGGCCTAGAGGTTCTGGGTTGGTGGACGTGGGGGGTGGGGAAGGGGGGGGGGGTAGTGGGCCAGCAGGTCAAAGGGTCGCCCGGAAAAGTGACACCCAATTGGATTGTTTCCCGCCATTAATTCCGTGAGCTTTAATTGGATGGGAGCGCCCGAGGGCACCCACGCTAGAGCTTTCAATAATGCCCATTTCAATTAATTTCAAAATAAGGATAAATTAATTGTCCGGTTCTTGGAGGCTGTACGACTCATACAGACGAACGACAAACTACATAAAAAGAGAATTTATACAAACTAACTAAAAAAACATAACTGAATAAACTGACTCTTTAATACCTAAATAAAACGATTTCAATCCAGGCCCACGAATGACAAAAAAAATCACACGACCTAAAAAGAAAAAAAAATCCCAAAGCCAAATCTTATTACAATCACAATACGCCGATGAATTATTAATGAAAGATATACACAAAAAAAAAAAAAAAAAACACCCGACCAGGTATCCCCACCACGTGTTTCTCTCTCCTATCTATTAACACGAAAGACTCCCCTCCCCCCCCCCCCCTCCCCCCTCCAAGCCAAGGAACCCGGGGGATAGGCCTACGCCGGGGATACATGACGCGGCGTGAAAACAAGATGATGGATCCCAGGCCCAAAGAGCAGACGCCATTTGCATATCACGGCGATCGCGTTTGCCCGTCTGGGATCACCTGTCTATCCCGTGACGAGGAGAGGGGAGGGGGAGAGGAGGAGGAGGGAGGGGGGGGGCATGTTTATACCAAGGAGAGATAACTCGGATAAGGATTTTTAAATAAAATACACCTACGTGGGGTGTATGTGTACGACATGTCCTTCGATCTTTACTGCGCTGATCTCTTCTATTTCTTTCGCTTCGTCAACTTCTTTCATTTCCTTCCTTCTTTCTTAACTGAAAGAACAGAGAAGAAGGAAAAAGACTTCCCTTTTCCCCGCCAAAAAAGAGGAGGCCGAATCCCATTCCCGGCCCTTGTTCATTCCCACCGGGGCCCCACGGTAAGCCTAACCCGGCCTAGCCCATATGATCCGGCCGGGCCCGCGGGCGTTACGCTCCATCCGGGGCCACGGCCAC